AGGATCACTCTGCTGGCTCCCAGGGAACTCTAGGTTGGCTTTCCTCCACTGTCCAGGCATAAACTACATTACAAGTTGGTGGGGCACAACATCTACCAGGAGATATGGTCCTGGGGGCCATGAATGGAGGGCCTTTCTGCTGCCTCTTGTTTATTTGCTTACAAGTTATGTCATGATGCTCACCAGGCGGATGTCTTGTAATTACTTCTGATGCTTTGGTTTTTGATCAAGAATCTATATTAAGAAAAGCAATTTTACATATTTTAAACATTGTTTTTGCTCTTTCTCTGCTGCTGGAAATCTTGTTACCATTTCCTGGCTGACATCAGGACTTGTGATGCCTGGAGGGATATTGAATGCTACCAATGGAAATTCCTGCTAATCTTCTCCAGATGGGATGGGCCGACGGTGGTTTCCCAGCCGGAAGCTTGTTCTGACCGATTAGAAAGAGACTCCCTTTCGTATGTCTGATAATGGCCCACTGTCCTACCATGTTTCAACATGTGGATTCAATTCTGAGTTTGCACACCAGAAGTATGCCTGTCCAGTGTCCATTATAAAAGCTCAGGGTCATGTATAAATGAATCCAGGAGGCACAACAAGCTTCTCGTTAGATCTATATAGCTTCTTGCTCTTAAATGCCTTTAAAAATATCCATTAAAAAGCAAACACCATAGGAATATCTCTTTGTAGGATGGATTTATGGCTTGTGATATTTTTCTTTCTTTCTATTCTGTTTTCTACCACCATAGCATATCACTTTAATAGCATTAAGAAATCATACCTGATTATTTAAATTACTGTAATTTTAACTCTTCATCTTGAAATAGTTTTAAATCTATAAAAAAGTTGCCGAACTGAACAAAAAATTCCTGAATTCCTTCATCAAACCACATCAAGTGTTAATGTTTTCTTTTTTTTTAATTAAAAAAATTTTTTTAATTTTAGAGAGTGTGAACAGGGGAGAGGGGCAGAGGGACAGAGAGGGTGAATCCCAAGCAGGTTCCACATTTAGCGGGGCTCAATCCCATGACCCTGCAGATATGATCTGAGCTGAAATCAAGAGTTGGCTGCTCAACCAACTGAGCCACCCAGGTGCCACAAATGTTAACATTTTCTAAAACCACAGTGCAGTTATTAAAAGCTTATTTATTCATTGAAATTCTATAGTAGGGACATTTCCCTCCCTCTATCTATCTATCTATCTATCTATCATCTATCATGTATCTATCTAGCATCTATCATCTATCTATCTATCTATCATCTATTTATCTGTCATCACTCATCTATCTTTATGTCACTATGGACTCAGATATTTTCATTCTATGAATTAGAATCCCTTTCTATAATTATTTTATTGCTTAAATTGTCCCACATTGGGCCATCAGGAGCCCTTTCAAGATGTCTCCTGTGTCCTTTGGCCATCAACGACAGTGTCATTCTTTGAGAACTGCCTTATTCTTTGGTGCCTTAAGAGTATTTCTAGCTTGTCAGGGAAGGTGATGTGGAAAAGGGAACTTTCAACCTGAACCTTCGAAAGGCTAGGATTAGGACCACCAAAAATGGGAAAAGGTCATGGGCTAGGCACTGCTTCTGTGTACAATACTTAGGGATGAAGAAGAACAACAGAAATCTGTGCAAAAGTAAAAAGAAAAGATGTTCAAAATTCATCCTGAACTGTCTCTGCCTCCATCCTGGATTTTAGTCACTACTTGTTTTTCATTTATGTATGTATATGTGCATGTACATATGTATATGTTTATTTGTTTTGGAACAGTGTTTGGAAACAAAATCAGAGTGCTAGATGAACTGTAGTTTATTTAAAACAAAATCTCAGAGATAACTTTTTTAGTTAACTTTTTTTGCTGTTATTAAAAAGTATGTTTCAGAACCAGATGTTACTTGAAACTGTATTTCTCATACAGAGTATCACATTTTTTTGAAAGAAGAAATGCTATTTCCTTTCTGATTACAAAAGTAATATATGTGCACTGTGGAAAATTTTTTATTTTACTTTTAATTTTTTAGATTTAATTTTTAATTTTTTTTAATGTTTATTTATTTTCGACAGAGAGAGAGGGACAGAGCATGAGCGGGGGAGGGGCAGAAAGAGAGGGAGACACAGAATCCTAACCAGGTTCCAGGCTCTGAGCTGTCAGCACAGAGTCCGATGCGGGACTCAAACTCACAGACCGAGAGATCATGACCTAAGCTGAAGTCAGATGCTCAACCGACTGAGCCACTCAGGTGCCCCTGGAAAATTTTTTAAATAGAGAAAAGCACAAACAAAAAAGTAAAATAATTTAGTTCTCATTCCCAAGTGGTAATCACAGTTAACATTTTTTACATTTATCTTTTTTCTTTGAATTATTTTTTAAAGTTTATTTTGAGAGGGAGAGAGAAAGAGAGAAAATGTAGGAGGAACAAAGAGGGAAAGAGAGAAAATCCCAAGCAGGCTCTGCACTATGAGCCTGATAGGGGGCTGGAACTCATATACTGCGAGATCATGAGCTGAGCCAAAATCAAGAGTCAGCTACTCAAACAACTGAGCCATCCAGGCGCCCCTTTCTTTGAATTTTTATACATTAAAGTAAATAAGAAACCATATTTGCATAATGTTATAATCTGCTTTTTAAAAACAATATGTTTTGAACATTTTCAGGCTATTAAAAATTCTTCTAAAACATTCTTTTCATAAATGTAATATTAAATTGTGTTGACTCTATTTCTTGGAAATTTATGATATTTTTCAGTTTTTAATCTTTTATGTAATCTGACAACAAATATTCTTATACATAAATCTTCGAGCTCATCTCTATATATATTGCAGATCATATTTAAAATTAAAAAATATTTTCTTATTTTTCTACAAACTAGTTTATAAGTAGCATGTTTTAATAATTTTTAAATTAGGTATGGAAGCTTTCCAGAATGCTATATAAACAGGTTACTGCTTTTCAGTAGGTTGTCAAATTCAGAACCTAATTAGTTTTTTATCTGTAGCCTGTGCTTACAGGGTATACATATATTCTTACATAAATACATTCTATACATACATATATATATTCTTATAATAGATATGAATACTTATATACAGTACTGACCGAGGTTAAATTGCCATTCTATCTATCTATCCATCTATCTATCTATCTATCTATCTATAATCTATCTATCTATCGCTTTACTAAGCTGTACTAAAACAATGGTTTTAGATGTCATTTCGACTTTGGTCAGTACTGTATATAAGTGTTCATACCTATTATGATAAGAATTTCACACACACACACACACAAAAGAATTTCACAATTATTGTTCATAAAGTAAATCAATAGCATTCTGGATCTTATTCTGCATTCTTGATAAGTTTTGGAATGGTCAGAAATTTGTTTGCACTAATTTAAACATCACTGAAATGGAAATAAGAGTTCAATCTTCAGGAGATACACAAATGGGTTGGGCTGATGGTGCCTATGCTCGAAACCAAGTTTTATACAATTGAACACTTATAGGAGTGTTAGGAACTCTGGGGACTATAGGAATTTCAAAGAAAGAGGGCAGTGCATGGATTCCATAGTCCTGGATGGCTCCTGGGAGGCAGCTGAACTTGTACAGTTCTGAAATACAGCTAAGCTTTACTATGGCAGTACTTGCATCATCACAGTAAGAATAAAACAGCTGAAAGAAATCAGGGAGGAGATTTTGTGAATGGGGAATGACAGAGGTTTCTTGAGTCAGGAGCCTGATAAAATCATCTCCTGTGCTTTGTTCTCTAAACAGCCTTCCTTACATCTGAAGAGCTATCCCCAAAGATGGGTAAGCCAAAACCAAATGTCAAATCCTGAGTCTAAGACAAAGTTTTCTCATCTTCCCTAACAGTGAAGAATCAGTAAGGCTTGGATTATGAAGAGACTGGACATCACATATTGTCATGGATTTTTGTAATATGATTGATTATATAGGTCCTATCAATAGTGTATCACAGTCCATTGGTATGATGAGTTAATACATTTTAGTCCAATTTTTATGTCTTAAAATCTATATTAAAGGGAGGAAAACGTCTCAGAGGGTTTTATAATGACACATTCAATGTGCTATGGAAATTGACACATGAAATTGACACATGAAACAGCTTGTGAAACTCAATGATCATGCACCTAAATATATTTACAGGCCATTGCGCGCCCAGATATTGCTGTGGCACAAATAGATGCAGGCTGAGTGACGGAAGCTGTATGTCACACAGTCACACTGGAGTGCTTTCATTCTCCGCCCCCCCCCCCCCAGAATGTGTCTCGGTGTTATCTCCATGCAGCCATATGGCAAAGTGGATGAAGATACTATCTTCCTGCATACTTCTGAGAAAGTTAGGTGCTCATTTGGCAGGGATGGGCAAGCAGAGCTAAAAATGCCACTTCTCTTCTGGGATCTTGGCATCCTTTTTCTGGGCTCCAAGTGGGGGAAGACCATCTGAAATTGATGAAGCCCCTGGAGGGGAGGGGTGGGTGGAGGAATAAATCAGACTCAACAGCGCAGCATGTAATCCAAATAGGTGAACGACCACGGCTTCTACAAATACGATCACAAGGAGAAGATTTTAAGTACAGGGTTGCTGCTACAATTTTTTTTTTGCCTTCAGTAGAAATATTTTCCTATTTTCTGGACCATAAATAGGAGCATTGGCAGACATATAGTCTAACAAAAGTACAGAGTGGTTTGCTTTTTTGTTGTTGTAATTGAGGCACTCTGACAAAATCTTAGACAAACGGTGGGCTGAGGTTTCTTTTCTTTTTCCATTTCAGTCTGGGATCCCCTGAAAGCCCTGGCCCCCAGATTGTGAGCTTCCACCGTCAGAACAGAGACAGGATCAAGGTGCTCACAAGTCTAGGGTAGAAACAGCCACATGAGCTCAGCATCTCAATAAGAAGTTCGTGTTGGGGGCAAATTCCTGAAGGGAAAAAGACCCATTCTGGGGCATTTCCTCCTTGGCACGTTATGGCAGCTTTAATTTATATTTTGTAACCTAGGTGATTAGTGAGAGTCAGATTTCACATTTGAAAGCAATACAAAATTTTCTTTCTAGTATTTCTACTGATGACACCCTTGTCAGGATTATAAGTCCAGGAAATAAGTGGTATTAAAGAATCTAAGTTTTCACAGGACATTCAGCATACACTGGGCTCACTAGTGTTGTAGACAGGTCTGCTTGGTGATAGACTGGGCTCACATCACTTGGCAGGGCATGGGGGTCACATGCTGAACAGACTTTTAGGTGAGTCCTCATAGCAGCTCAATAAATGCCAAGTGATGACTTGATGAGGAGGCTTCTTCCAGAAGAGGATGGGATGTCTAGAACACTGAGGAGTCTGTTCTGATTGGCCCGAGGCAGGCAGTGCTGAGGTTGCAGGCTGAAGGCCTCATTCCCCGTGGCTGGGACAGCAGAGCTGGCCAGAGACAAGTACTAATTACTGCTGTTTTGTCATTTGTAACAGAAATCAAAGAAGGCAAGACCACACATCCTGAAACTTCTCATCATCTGTAATTAGCTCCTCATGAGGAGAGTCGTAACAGAGCCAGGAAATCAGTCGTTGCGCCTGATTCACACTGGCTCCTGTTTGGAGATCCAGGGAGGACAACTTACACAGATGACGTATTTATGCGAACAAAGGGCGCTCTGGTGGAATAGAGAACATACAGCAGGGAGCACTGGGTCTGTGCACAATAGGTTTTAGAAAGGATAACAGGTATTTTGACTCAGTCAATGTTTCTAATTCAGGTGTATAGATAACTATCTTTTGGGATTAACCCTCTGTCATGGCACTTAGCATCCTGTACCGGAATCACAGATTTTCTGCTGATACCGAAGTCCCAGTCCTGTGACAATCAGATGTAGTAGCAGAAGCAGTGGTTGGGCACCCAGGACCTGTGCTTGTTCCCGGCTGCCTGGAGGGCTGGCTGCTGGCAGCTCATGACTCTGTCCTCTGGGGATTGTTTCCTCCCTGCAGGAAGCTGCCTCATCTACAGTTATGCTTGAAAGGGTAACCTACAATGGCTGTTCAATGGGAGAGACCTGTTCCTTTACCCCAATTGGGACAATGCCACAAGGTCGTGGGACTCCATAGTTTCTGGTGGGGCCTCTGTTTCAAGTGCTTCACAGCTCAGCTTCTCCCTCACTCCTCCCCGGAGTTGTTCTTGGGCATACTCCCCCATAAACCTCCTGTATGCCAACCTCAAAGTCTATTCCCAGGGAGCCCAAATGCAGCAGATACTGTAGCATAAAGCTGCTGAAGATGGGAAACTGCCATCTAGTTTTTGACGTTGGAAGGCTCAGCTTCATCACATATAGCTGTTCTGGTCTTCCATGTTGTCCAAAGGAGTGTGTTTCAACCAGGGGAGATTTGGGCAGTCTGCAGGTAATTTTGTTGGTCACTCCTGGTGGAGGGGGTGATAGGGGAGGGACACTACTGGCATCTAGTGGGTGCAGGTCAGGTATGCTGCTAAACATGCCACAATGCACAGGACAGAATGCACAGCAAATCGTCCAGTGGCAAAATGTCCACAGTGCCAAGGCTGAGAAGCCCTGGTCTAACAATGAAACAATTCATGGCAGGAATTTTCTAGACAAAGAGTCCCTAGTAAAATCTATCTGCTAGGCCAGTGGTTCTCAATGTCAAGTGTGCATGAGAATCCGTGGAGAGCTTGTCAAGGCATACAATGCTGGGCCCACCACCAATCTCTGATTCAGTAGATCTGAAGGCTTTGGGGGGACTTGATAATTTGCATTTCCTGGAGGTTTCTGAGTGATTTTGACATTGTTGATCTGGGGACCTTACTCTGAGAACCATTGTGCTAGGCTCAGCTGTCCTATACCTGAAATTGTACCATCAAAGACACATGCCTTTGGGATGGCAAGAGCAATGCCTTGCTCAGATGCTCACATCCCACATTGAGCTCTATTTTTATCTTTCAGATACTCTGATTTGACTTGAATTTTGTTGTCCACCTACAATTCCTGAGGCGATGGGCAGGATAGGCACAGCACTGTTCAGCTTTGATGAGAGGGAAGTGTCTAGAAGGAAGCTGGCACTTGGGAGCATCTGTGTCTGGAAGGAAAACAACATAACACAATCATAAGACAGGGCTTCATAGGTTACACAATTCCATCAAACAGTGGGGCTGAGCCAGTGAGGTGGCTCTTTTTCCACCAGGGTTCTGGCCAGAGAGCTAAGGGTCTAAGAGTTCAGGTGCCATGCAGATCATTGACTGATCACTGGCCATGCACAAAATGGAACTCAAGCTTAGCCCCGCTACACCAAGTTCTAGTCTACCAAGGTTGTCCCAGACCCGGGGACACAACAAAGACAATTGTCAAATAATGACTGAGCATCAACCGTGAGCCAGGCTCCATCTGGGACTGGGTATGTAGGTAGCAGGCCAGACATAGATCAGGCCTGTCTATGGGGTTTGCACATGAGGGAGCAGACAGGAAGGACAGAGGGCAGAGAAATCCATGCTGAGGAGCAAAATGAAGACAGGAGAAAGATATGGCATGTTTGTGGTGAGGGTTTACATTTCTGATGGGACACCAGAGGGGCTCACCAAGGTGGCTGATTTGAGTCAAGACCTGCTTGAAGGAAGGGAATCACCTTCTACACTGGGGTGAGAGCCAGCTCAGAGGCCTTAGGGTGGGGTGGGCAGGCATAACTGAAAACAAGGAGGCCAGGGTAGCTACTGTGGGGCCAAAAGGGGGAGAAGAGGTCAAGACAGACTGTTGTAGACACTTTGGGTGAGAGGGAAGACTTTGGCTTTGGCCCTAAGTGAGTGAGTCAGTCACTGGGGTTTTGTGTGGAAGGGTGCCTAGTCTTATGTATATTTTAACTAAATTACTCTACTGTAAAATATAGGGGGCAAGGTCAGAAGGAAGGAGATGTGGGGTGTGAAAAGACCACTAAAGCATCCCAATGAGATGGTGATAGAGGTTTGGTGCTAGGAGGTGGCAGTAAGGGTGGTGGAAAGTGAGTCTTACTTCTTCACCTCCTTGAAAGTGTGTTGTGGGCTGACTCTGGTTGTTGCAATGCCCTGTTGTTGCACTGTGGGTGAGCTGAAGCTTAAAGAGATTTCCTTGTTAGGTGGCCAATGTTTCTATAAACTGGCTATTGTCAGGGGTTGGGTGTCGTATGGGCAGATCATGAGACAAGGGTTCATGTGAATGTGACCTACTTGGAAGTGTTCTTGGGAAAATTCCCATAAGAGGTGTGGGGAAGTGAAAGGTGACCAGCTGGCTCAGTTTGCCCATGACCAAGAAGTTTTCAGAATGTGGAACTTCAGTGCTAAGACCAGTACAGTCCTAGGCAAACCAGGGTAGGTGGTTATCCTAGCTGAAAGGGGAAGGGGAGGAGACCAGTACAAATGTGTTGCCAACAAGATCCCACAGAAAGTAACTTTGGCTCCAATGCTGGGGATGAAGTGCTGGGTACTTATTCCACTGCACCACTCTGTTGTGGATGAAGAGCTATCTATGACCCCAATTCCCAGGCACCCGGGCACTTCCAGATTCTGACTCAGGCAAAGTGGCTCTAGTAGACTAAGAACAGCTTCTGTCAACAAGGGGAAGGAGGGAGTTTTGAGGGACAGATGCCAGAGCCTGTGGGCATGATTGCTACTGGGATGGAGGGAATAGGGCAAAGCCCTGCTGCCTCTGCTATAACTCTTTACTAAATCTTCACCTTGGTAACTGGAGGATGAAAACACACATCACCTCTGAGGATTTCTCTTGAACTCTGAAAGTTCTTTGAATGCTGTAAGACTGAAGAATTCTTTGTTTTGTCTTGGTTTGTTCCCTGTATTTAAGGGTCTGATGTAGCTGCAACCTGAAACTGTCTGAGAAGCAGGTAAGTACAGGTCCCATCCCTCCTGTATGGAGACTTTGCTGGAGGAGGGGAAGTTGGGAAGCCTGCAGGATTCGGTCATCTGCAGACACTGAGTCACAAATGGTAGAAGCTGCTTGTTAACTTCCAGATGGATCACAGTTAGCACAATGTTATCATCATGACTTTCTTTGCAGTATTGTCAAGAATACTAAACAGTATTCTCAGTTATTATGGTAATTTATCTTTGGGTAACCAGTTACATGCAAAATGTGCGAAAACTTGTTTGATGCTTCATGGAAGGTAGATTAATTAATGAAATCTGCTACTTGCTTCACAGTAGTTTACAAATAAATTGTAACTTCCTAAAAGCAATGATAAGCTATCTCTTTGAAGAAGTATAATTTTATTTCTTAATTAATAAAAGGCCATTATGTTAATTAGACTATGTGGAAATTGAATATGAAGATCATTATAGCTATTGTATATCTTTTTTTAAGTTAAGATATCTGCAGGGAAAAAAAATTTAAAAAAATTCCAGTAGTTGTGTGCATTTACGTGGGAGGTAATATGGGCTTTATTTAAAAAAAAAAATGAGCCATGGAAAAAATCACCATAAGCCTATATAGTTTTCCTTTGAGCTAGTAGAACCCATATATGTATTTTTCTCTAAAGACAGATTCCATTAAGGTAAGTTCCAGTTCCTTTTAATTGAATTAAAAATGCTATAAGGATGTTATTATAAACCTTGTGTTAACTATGTTTTTGGACTAATGTTTGGAAAATGTTCAGGAACTTGAGTTTTCTGGTTTGGTCTCTGAAGTTTGTGGTTGCCTCTATTTTACATTATGCTATCAGAACATGTCCCTGACATTGACAAGCCCATTTCCTATGCAAGGAGCAAGGAGGGTGGCAGCCAGAAAAAGAGGACAAGAGCATCTGAAGCAAATTTGTCATGGAAAGAAAATGTAACATTGGCTAATTATTCATAAATTTATTAATTCAACAAAGATTTATGGAATTCCTCCAAAGTGCCAGACTGTGGTAAGCACATAGCCAGGCACTGCTTACAGTTTTAGGGAGAAGATAAATAAATGGATGAGCATGATACTCTATGTACTTAGGAGTTTTACCTCTTTCCAGAGGGCAATGAGAAGCCTGTGAAATATTAGGAGTATGGGAAAGTTTCCTGGAGGAAGTGCTTCCTGAGCTGATCTTCAAAAGGCAAGGAGAGATGGCTTTCAGGATTGTCAGGGAAAGAAGCAGCGTGTGGAAAGGCAGCATGTGGAAAGCAAGGCCCTCGATAGACTCAGAGTGCTAGTCCAGTGAAGAGATTCTCCTGTGATGTGATTAGGGTTGGTGGTTGTCAGGCTCAGGCTACTGGTTAATGCAAGTTATTATTAAAAAGTACATGTGCTTTAAATATTTTAGGTTACATTTTAGTGTATGCATGTTTGTCCAATTTTTAAATAAAGGGCCAATGCCTTTTCTTGATTATATAATTACACATTTTCTTCTTTGCATGGGCAATGCATCCCCTGGATTCCCATTTCTCTTTCTTTCAAGTGAAATGAAAAATTGAAGTCACTTGGAAACAACTTTCTTGAGAAAATTTCCAGAGATTTACATCCTCTCTCAATCTTTTACTGTGGTTTTATCCAAATTAAAGAGCAATTATTTTTATGAACTCTTCTTTTATCAAGTCTTTCCAAAACATTCACTTTAGTGTTCATAGAAATAACTTGTTTTCATCTTTATGCTATACTGATTGCTATCTTTTTAATTAAATTATATTATGACAGTAAGTGCTAGCATAAACAATTCTGGGAAGAGCTGTCTCCAGATGATCACTAACACAGTTGGTGAAGCATGGTTTTGTGGGCCTGCTTGAAAGAAAGTAGCCTGTCTATTGCAAGGCAGCCTGTTTTACAGAAGGATAAAAGTATCACCAGCTAATCCTGCTCATTCAGCAAAATGAAGGAATTTAGGGAATTTAGAATGGAATTCAAAATGGCAGAAGTATAAGGTTCAACAATTATACAAATTGATATTAAAGAACATAGTAGCAAGCATATTAATGACCTTATCTGCATAAAATGTTCAAATTTTATCTTGCCAGATATAGAAAAATGTTTTAGATTGTCCATCAGGTAGAGTAGAAAGGGTACATGCTAGGAGATGACTTCTGTGGATCAACACTTATAGGGAATTGAAGGCAGAGCATGAACTGTAACAAAAGTTACAGCTGATCCAGGGGAGCTCTGGAGCTAGGATGGCCTTTCAGAGTTGTCCTTTCTCAAAGAAAAAAAGTCCTTCCTTTATACCAAACTCCCATCTCCTATACTTACCGATTACTGGATGTAGGCTGCCCTCAGGTAGAGAGAGTCACATATCTGGTCTTTGTTCCCAGGTCCTGCCACAGAACTTCAAACCCTTGGGATTTCCTCAGTGATAGGACTGTCTTTGTTCTGCTAGTGAATTAATTCAAAGTGGTCCCCTAGATAGCTTCAGGATGCAGTTATCACTGGAATAGCAACCACAGTAATTGGGGGAGGGTGGAGGGATTGGAAATTGAGTTCAATCATGTGAACAATCATTTAATCAAATATGCCCTATAAAAATCTCTGGACACTGAATCTCAATGGAGCTTCCTAGATGATGAACACATTAATTTTCTGGGAGCATGATGCACCTGTGAAGAGTACAGGGGAGATCTGGGTACCCTACCTGCACTTGACCTTCCCCTACATATCTCTTCATTTGGCTGTTCCTGGTCTATATCCTTTACAATACAGTTTTAAAAGTCAGTATAGTAATTAAGGTGAGTTTGTGAGTTGCTCTAGTGAATTATTGAAGTTGAGGGGGTTGTAGGAGCTCCTGAATTTACATACAGCTGGTCAGAAGTGCAGCGGGTCCCCAGTACTTTGAAGTGGAGGACAGTATTAATCTGCACTAGCAAAGATGCCATATGAGGCACACACTGCAATTGGGATTGCTCCTCCACTGAGACTGTGGTAGACATCTGTCATCCTCCAGTGTCTGTCTGGATTTTTAGAGGCTAAACTGGTGATTTAATGTGGTTATGTCAGGGACCAGCACCACTATATCCTATATGGGTTTTGGGGTAATACCAACCTCTGATACTGCCCAGGATGCAAAGCTGTTTTTGATTTACTATATTGGCAGGGCTGGCGGGGGGCGGGAGAGGGTGATTCAAAGACTTATATTTGTCTTTCTCCAAAATGATAGCTCTTACATCACATGTCAAGGAGTCAATGTGTGGATCCAGCCAAATATCACATATGTCCTTTCCAATTATGATTTGGGTGGCAGGGGAAATGACCATGAGGTGTGTCAAGGACTCATTGGATCTATCATAAGCTAGATCTGAGCCAAGACTCCATTTCTTAGGTTTTGTACACTCCTATGCCAACAGGGATGCCATGACACCTTGGGTCTCTCAGGGTCTTATCAACTCAGACACTGTGTATCACAGTCACTGAAGTATTTGGGTGCTTTCCTTTCCCTGGTGTATGATTACTCAAGTGAGGGATTATATGTTCTTTTAGAAAAGGACTGTCGGATCCTCTGTTCCACCCCCTCTCTGCCCCTCCTGCTGTTGCATGCACTCACTCTCTCTCTCAAAAATTAATAAACTTAAAAAAAAAATAATAAAAGAAAAGGACTGGCGATATTAGTGGACATGCTTGCATAGTATTTCATGGTTCTTTCCCCTAGAGACCTGGCCTCTTCTTCAGCCTGTAGGATCTGGGTCTGAACATTTAAGTTCAGAAACTGGGAATGTGATTGGGACATTTTATTGGGGCAGCTATTCTTTCTTCTCACCATCTATCCTTGTTTTATCTTCATTTTAGACTGAATATTACCCTTGTTGTCTATCTGTCTATCTTGTTTGAAAGCATGACATGATATGTTATCTCTGTTGTTTTTTGACTGTTACAGTGAGCTTGCATTTATTATGAAAATTGCACTGTCTTGCTTCTGTTGTTTAAGTACAGCACTCAGGCTCTATTATTTTGGGATTTTGTCACCATTACCATTACCATAGAACCGAGGGCTGTAACATCACCTCCTACTATCAGCCCTGGTCTATAAAGTACAGTCATCTCTGAGATTCTCAGTGATGCAACTGTCCCTCGAACTAGTGTAGTTTTTATTGCGTTAGTGGTATTTCTCATGCTTCTGACAGAACATTGCCTGCTAGCTGGTCTTCTGGGTGTGCATAGTACATTCCCTCTAATAGGTCTATTTCTCTGAGCCTTGGATCCTTTGTTCCATTTTCTGTCATGGTCCTTCTGGTATACTGACTTCACATATATGAACCAACGCTTTCTCCAACGTTCTAAGAAACATAAAAGCATGGCATTAGCACTGTCTTCTGGGGTCTTTGCCAGGATATTAAATCCTATATTGTGGGACAGTATTCCATATGCATAAACTTTTGTACAAACTTCTCTGCCTCCCTTGATTCAGACCTTCAGAATACAGTTCTATACATCAACTCTTGCTAGCTCATGTTTGGTGGGTCCTGTGTCTTCTTTGGAACATAGTAATTTCGTCTCTAGTAGGCCTAGCCCCTTCCTTGCAAGCTTATGAAATGACTTAACCTGAGTTACTCATTTGTGTCTAGGAGAGGAATTATGAGTAGGTCCTAAAGGAGGTGTATATTGTCTTGTAAGCCACAGATCTACTCATCATCTTCAAGCAAGAGAAGAGAACCTTAGCATATAACAAGAAAGAGTTATATGCTAGCAGGCCCAGAGATTTCAAAGGGATCTACATCTAAAATTTTCAAGTCCATGAGCCCAGATATTCTGATTCTGTAACCCGGGGCCCCACTCCTTTCCAAGAGCACTGACCTTGGCACAGAAAAATTTTGGGGGTTAAAGATGTAACTTCCTCTGAAGCTCTGCTACTCTTTTAAGTATGTCCTGGATTTGATCCTAAGCTTTTCCTGCCCTTCAGCTACAGAAGATGAAAGTCACTCTATATGATGCCAAAGCAGCTCTCGGACTCTTAGACTTATCCAGATTAGTCACTGTCAGCCTTTTATTTATTTATTTTTAATGTGTTAACTGCACTGAAACATGGTTACCTGATTCCATAGTCCTTCATTTCCACTTCCCTGAAATTCTCAAGCACTGAGGTATTTCCCACTCCAGTGCAATCCTTTCTGTGTTATCCCATCCTAATTCACTGTTGGTGAAAGTTAATGCCACAGCTACTGGATGCCTGGGGCTATTTATGCTCCACCTACCCACCAGTGGTAGGTTTCTCATTGGCAGCTGACTGGGGGTAATCTACTTCCCAAACCCCATGTTAGAATTAGCTTCCTCTGACCACTCCTGGCACCAAATCTTAGATTAAGTCTTCAGGAAGCAGACCTTGAGACAGAGATTCTTTTGCATGGAGGTATTTATTAGAAAGTGTTCCAAGATCAACATCTATAGGGAAATGAAAGAAGTAGGAATAGGCAGAGGGAAGAAGTGAACTGCGGGGCACAACCCATAGTAAACTCTAGAGCTGAGATGGCCCTTCAGATTTGTCCTGAGTAGAGGTAAGGTAGTCAGGCCTTTATATTCCTGCATTGACTAGTCATTAGATGTGGGCTGTTCCCAGGGTTGGGGTGACCTTGGCTAGAGCTGCTGTCTTTGGTGGAGGTCAGCTCCTAGAGGGTCACTCGGTTGGGGGCCATTAACCTCCCAACACCACCGGCAACTGGGGAGTACTCAGTTCTGAAGGAAGGATCAAGGTTATACACAGCAGATCCACTTCAAGAATTTCAAATTGGGAAATTAACATAATCAAATTCTGTCTTTACAGTAATCATCCTGTCACAAGTAAGAAGAAAGAATTAAAAGAGTTCATGGCTGGGGCGCCTGGGTGGCGCAGTCGGTTAAGCGTCCGACTTCAGCCAGGTCACGATCTCGCGGTCCGTGAGTTCGAGCCCCGCGTCGGGCTCTGGGCTGATGGCTCAGAGCCTGGAGCCTGTTTCGCATTCTGTGTCTCCCTCTCTCTCTGCCCCTCCCCCGTTCATGCTCTGTCTCTCTCTGTCCCAAAAATAAATAAACGTTGAAAAAAAAAATTTTAAAAAAAGAGTTCATGGCTAATTGATCATGCCATACTGATAAATACATTTTTATTTATATTTAAACTTTTATCTGTATTATTTATATCCATATTTATTCATATTTATATTTGAAAGACAACACATTTCTACCGTGGAAAAACTCCAAGGTAGGAATGGCAGTACATATATAGAAAAATATAGTCTATAAATGACAGTAATTCAGTCAGGTTATTTCCATTTCTAGCCCTCATAAATCTTAATATAATTCCATTGTTAGTCAATTCACTGAAGTGTTTTCATTCCAGTGCCATGATGCAGCTGAAGTAAAGAGGTAAGTGCATTCTTACTTAGTGATAGCAGGTTAAACAAATTGAGATTCTTATGTAAGTTTCATGAGCATCGGGATATGGAGAGAGTTATAATGAATGTAATAATAATGAGAAGTAGATCTAAAGCTAATGAATAAAAGAGGGTAATGGACTTTGTGAGCACTTAGTCACTGTTCAATCTATAGCCCTGGTGGAACATAAAGGAAGAGGAGACATGAAATAGAAAGATGCAATAGATGTACGAGGTTAAAAAAAATTCTATCTTTTTGCTTTATGGGAGTAACCTATAAATATACACCTTGTAAGGAATATGAAATATGAAATATGGAAATTAAAATTAAAAAGTAAAAAATAAAAACATTCCATAATCCTATCACCAGAAGATAATAATTGTTAAGATCTCCATGACTTCTTTTATGAGAATATTTTTAAAAAATTCATTATATTATGTATTATATGTGTAATATATGTATTTCCTTAATATCATGTCATACTTTTTTTTTTTTTATCAAAACAAATTATTTGAAGACTCTTACTTTTAGTTCTGGTGTAGCATTCCACCCATCATATGAATATATCCTTTTTATTGGACATTGGGGCTGTTCCATGTTTTTGTTTTTTTGTGTTTTTTTTTTTTTTGTTATTATAATCAATGTTGGGAAGAATAGTGTTTTGTAGAAAAATTTCAATATAGGTCTTGTTAATTTCTGAAGAAACACTTATAAAATCAGGGATAATGGGTCAAATCACGTAACTTTTTTTAAAGGCCCTTAATTAAATCACCAAATTATCTAGAAATGTGTTCCAGTTTCTATTCCCCTCAGCAATGCATGTGTACTTTCATCTAACTACACATTCTTTTCAGAATGGATTATGGTTTTAACTTTCTGCCAATGTGATAGAAATAAATGTGATTTTCTTGTTGTCGTCTTGTTTCATATTCTTTTAGTAACTGTGCTAGCTTAGCTGTTTGAGTCTTCTTATAAATGGTCTTCCCAGAGCCACACCTGTAGGGCAGATTGGTGCTCATGTAACCCCTCAGCTACTTCTGAGTTTCTGATGCACATTCACACTGAGCAGCTCTAGATGTTCCTAGAGAGTTTG